ATTAAGTTTTTTAGAACACTTTTTTATAATAATAATATTATATAAAGGCATGAACAGAACATGTAAATGTTAAGTTAATGATTCATGTAACCATGTAGAAAGTCTATTTATTTAACTTACCTATAACATTTGTTAAATATTGTGGTTATTAAATTATTAGGTATTTACTTTAGGTATCCATCAAGAGCAACAAAAACAAATCTTGCTATGTCAATTATTAATGCTTTTCCTAAACTGCACTCTGGTGGACCTCTAGGATATGTTTGTTATTTAACTTTGTTAACTAAAAGTAATTTGTTTGTTTGCTGTTTAAACTGCATTATATATAATTAAATATTTAGGAAAATTACTATTGCGCTTATAAGGAAGTTGAAGTAAATGGCAAAAAAAAGAAAATAACACCTCATGGACATATCGAGGAGCGGCTGAAAACAATTAGGAAGTTTGATGGTGTCCATGCCCAAGCTACACGAAATCGAAAATCCGTTTCTCAAACGACTTTTGATGTTGCAGGTAAGCTAAATGATATTGTAAGTCACGTTTATATATACAACAAATGATGGGTAACTATTTTTTTCAGTTCCTTTTTCAAATGAAGAACGAAACATTATAAGTGAGTTGTCATTTGATGACATTCAGTATGATCGAAAACAATATATTCTTGAAAAAACTAGAGTATCGCGAAGAAACTGGATTCTGTCATCAAAACCACCTTTTCATGAATTTATTCGGAAATTTCCCCCATTTAAAGATTTAGGATTTGATGTAGGCAGTACTGTCTTTTACATTTGTAGTGTATATCCTTATGTCTTGAATTACTGCTGGAATATTGGAGTATTACTATTAATATTATATTATATTAGTATTAAGTATAATACTGTATTAGTATAATACTGGAGTATTACTAGTGTAAAATTGATTTTCTGTTTGAAAAACATTTCATGAGTCTTTATAATCATTATATTAGTTTCAAAGAGAGTTTACAGCAACATTTGAAAATGCTAAAGATTTGCTTACGCAATGGGAGGATATGGCTCCTCATGTTATTACTTGGGCTCGTAGAAAGGAGAATCCGATGGCAAAGCAACTACTTTTAGAGCTTGACAGCCAGCTAATACCTGCAAATCGTATGTCCCATTGTCTTCTTTAATTACTGTTTTCTTTTTTTTTTTTAACTTTTATTAACTATTAAAACTATTATACTATTCTAAAATATGTATATGTATTGTTTGAGTTTTTAAATATTTTTTAAAAATCAAAGATCGATATATGGAGTTTGCATTTCACTTGCTTCCATACATTCTTTAAGTGCCTCCTAGAAATAAGGATCGACCGTCTACAGCTGAAGTTGCAGCTCACTTTATTCAAATCTTTCCTGTAAGTTTAATATTTCTAGCTAAATGATATGTGCTATAAACTAGGTCAATAATATAAAATAGGTCAAGGACACCAGCTTGTATATTGTATCTTAATTATTTTTGTTTTTATAAAGGAAACTACAGCTATGGAGACGATAATTGATGCAAATAGACATACCTCTTTCATGCATCCATTTGTTATTGCACTAGGGGCTCGAGGCAATTTGATTCAGTCATTTATTTTTATAGAAGACAATGTTATTCCTATTAGAAATGGCATGTTAAGTGCAGTCGACCGTTTGCTGAAACTATATTTTGTAATCGATATTAAATATGCGAAAGAGTGCAAACATGTTTTACATTTTTTGCAATGTGTAGTTATGGGTATTCATAACGATTTGCCGTTGTCAAGAGGAGGCAGTGATCTTTCGTTGTTTGTTAATGAAAAATTAAGGAGTGGATAAACTTTTAAATGTTTTTATTTTAAAGGATACGAAAATATATTATATCAAGAAAATATCACGTACTTTATAAACAATCATGTTTGTAATTCTGTTGAAACTTATAATATAAATTATAAAATTGTTTAATTGAATAAACATGAGCTTTTTTTTTTAATTGATATTTGCGTTACTGCAATGAACTTAGGGAGAAAAAAATTTATTTTGAATAAACCAAAATATATTCTTTTACATTTTGATCATATATTGGAAATAATTTTTTTCATATAAAGTTCTGGTAGATTAAATATAAATATTTAATCTACCAGAACTTTCTCATTATAGGCTACTTTCTAACATGTTTAATTTTTTTTTGTAAAAACCAGTTTGGGTTCAGATTTTGTACCGCGCCAGTTCAGGTTTTTTTTAAGAACAGTTCAGGTTCAGGTGAATTGCCTGAATGTTCGTCTGGCACTTTTTGAAACAAACTAGTTCAGGCGAAACGCCTAAAGTTCGTATAATTTACCGGAACTTTTTCCTGAACTATAGTTCAGGTTATCTAACGCGGTTGTTCAGGTTTTTTTAACGAACAGTTCAGGTTCAGGTGAATTACCTGAATGTTCGTCTGGCACTTTTTGAAACAAACTAGTTCAGGCGAAACGCCTGAAAGTTCGTATAATCTACCGGAACTTTTTTAAGAGTGTATATATATATATTTAACCTATTAACTGGCTGCAATATGAAGATGAAAAGCGCATTTGTTTATGGCTGTTGTATACTTCTGACCTTAAAATCAATAAAGCGGTAAAATCTGCTGAACCTCCCAAACCTATTTGGAAACTGTTTTTTGTTAGAGTGCTGCATTCTTACAGTAAGCTTATTTTACTTTTAATGGTTTTAAACTTAGCTTATTTGTTCAAAAAGAATTCAGTTTTAATTTTTATTATCTTAAAAGCACATGTGAAATTGCTAATTCCAAGTTGGATATTGCAGAGGACTGCTCAGAACTTCCAACAGAATCAGATATTGACGCAAAAAAAAGGAAAGCGAAAAGGTTAATTCTTTTATTCTAACTTCAATTTATTTGATTATTTCAGTTAATTGTTAACATCATGTTTAAAATTATGCTATGTGTAACAATATTCTATGTTATGGTGTTCATTTTATCTATTGGTAATATAAAATTTATTTTTATTTAAAAAGTATTTATTTTATCAATAGATAAAATAAATACCAAAACATAATAACCCTATAACACAACAGTAGTCTCTGAAAATAAAAAGGGTTATAAACTAATTTAGGTCATTACCAGTTTTATGGAATAAATTGTGTGATTCAGATTCCAATTATACAAAATCTGAAAATGGAAAGAAGTTTTCGGTATCAATTTCAACCTCAAACCTGAAGTTTCCTACTCCTCCTCAGTTGCAATCCGGTTAGATTTTTGCATTTTAATAAATATTTTACAGATCATTAATGATCTATCAACATTCTTAACATTAATGATTATAATTGGCCATTAATGACATTTAAAAAAATGAAATATGTTTTTATATTATACTATACTTTATATTTGTAATATCAAATATTTTGAAAAATATTTGATATTACAAATATGTTTATAATGCATTATTTGTGCATAGAAATTCAAAATGCATCATCTACTATCTACTCTCTCTCGTCATTATTTTTAAACGATTTATCTTTTAGTAAAAAAGGTTGGTCAACACTTTTTTTTTAACTTGAAAGTTTTACAATTTTTAAAGTTTAAATTATGGTTTGCAAACTGTCTGTTTGTATATGTGTGCTTGTAAAAATAAGCTTAAATATTTAAATAGACAACCAAACTACACTACCATTATCAATATTAACGCCAATTAATATATAGCACTGCAAGTAGAGCAGTTACTATAGCACTGCAAGTAGAGCAGTTAACACCTGATTTGGTCAATTGTCATGTTGGAGGTGTGTTACATTTATTTATGCATTAGCAAATAATGAATTTGTTTATTTGTTCATATGAACTTAATATATATAGAAAATATTTTCATACTATTATTACTATTATTTTTATTAAAGTATTATTATGCGTGTTTAAAATATATATATTTATTTTATTTTTCTTCGCATTTAGGAAATGATCATCGAAAACTAATATTATTAGAAGAGATTAAACAAAAAAATCAAACTATAATTTTTCTTCTGCAACAATTATCAGCACAACAGCAGTGTGGTAATATAGAAACAAGTTTTGATGAGTTTGGGCTTCCTGTTTCATCAATGGAACATTTACAAAAACTAGAAACAGATTGCCTTGACAATGACCTCCCAGGATAGTTTTTAATTACATAGAATAATACTTTTAAATTTAAATTAAACCAATACATATAGATTTAACGCAAAGTATTTTTTTTCTATTATAGTTTTAAATTGTATTTAAAAATCTTTTTTAAATCAATTTGAAAAGTTTTATGAATTATTAAATAACATTTAAATATATTTTAAATAAAATTAAAGTAGAAAATTTCATTTAGTTTTTTTTTTTTTTTTCAATATCATTGAAAAAAATTTTTTACACAGACGAAATAAAAATAAAACCCAAAAAAACCCAAATTTACCCAATAAAACCCTAAGTTACCAAAAAAAAACCCACTAAACCAGTTTTTTTTTAAAAAATCCGGGTTTTTGCCAACCCTGGTGTGGCGGAAAAACTATCACTGAATCAACTAAAAATGTTATTAGGCGGTTAATATCAAACAACATAGAAATAGTTAGTAATTGGGAGGGGAAATATGCCTTTGGCAATAGCAAGCTTTGTCAATAGTGTAATTTTTTGTTTTAAAATGTCATTATTTCATCTTACTATTGATGTTTTTTTTATTAAAAAATATTTACTTATAATTTTCATCGTTTTATATAAATGAAAGTAAATGAGTTAATAGTTAATACTTATAAGTGTGTATGCATAATACATGTTTATTTTATTTAGATGCTGTTCGGCGTAATCCTATAACATGTCGCAGTACGGATGCAAGGTTGCTTGTGCCAGTAAAGCATGGCATCGATTCGCGAAATTCGTGTGGAGGGATGAGAAGAAACATCATTTTAACGATTTTAGTTATATACTTTTATATATAATTTATGATTTTTTTGTATGTGTGTAATAGTTTAAATTATTTTGTAACGAATAAACATTTAACTTGAAACCAACAAATTTATTAACTTTAATACTTTTATGTAACTTTAAATACTTTTACATTTTCAACTTTCATAATAACGTTAGTTCAATGAGTATCAAATCATCCTAGTCGTCACACAACGCGTTGCTAACATTGTTGGAAACAATGCTTGAAGTCTTAGGCCAACGTTAATAAAATGCACAAATGCGAATACAATATAAAACTAACAGTGTGCTAACAACATTGAGTATACACGATGCCGACATTGGCCCGATGGGCGGCCGATCATATGCTAACGCGTTTTCAACCTTTAAACATTATTACGCCAGCATAGCCCTACAAACCCATACCAACAGTGCCAATGTAAAGTCAGCATTATACGAAATGCGTTATGCCAACGTGTCGCCAACTGTTTTACTTGGTTCGGCCAACGTTGCACCAACAACTTAAAACCATAAGTGGGCCAACGTTGCGCCAACAATATTAAGTGTATGTTACGTCAACGTAGGCACGATGGGCAGCCAACCATATGCTAGTACAACGCCAACTTACAGCCTACCAAAACGCCTCCTTGGCCCAACAATCAGAAATACGTTGGGCCAACGTTGGGCCTACTAAGTTGTGCTGCTCGGGTACCTGGCCAATTGTGCGAGTTACATAAGGTTAAGAAATTTGATTTTGTTAGTGCTATTATTTTCAGCAACTTAATATTTGTTAGCCTTTGTCTAATTTAGTTGCTAAATGCTGTTTTGGCACAAAACATGACATGTTTTCTAAAGAGAAAAAAATGTTCTTATGGAATCCATACTTCTTTTAAAACTCAATATTTATGATGTTAGCGTAGAAGACTTCACTGAATAAAATAGAGGATAGAAGTTTTACATAATGAGGTTTCGTCTTAGGAATTATCTTCATAGACAGAAGACTCGGTGTTATATCAGAACAAACATCTGAAGAAGCAGAAAAAAATCTAAACAAAACATAGAAAAAGTTTACTGAGTTTGAGAAAAATGTTGATCATGGCGAGAAATTAAAAGTTTGTTTTTGAATACTGTTCGATGAAGTTTTTTAGAAGACTTTTAAGGATATACACATATGAAAAAATGTCTTTTTTAAATATTAATAAATACAATGTCTAACATTTAGATTCAAATTTTTGTTAAAACATATTTTGGCTCTCCAAAGATAAATAAATACTTACTATTTTGACGTTTCTTTCTTAACGGTTTAGTTTTATATCTTTATATCAGCATATGCTAGATATGGATTGATAAAAATTTATTTCAACCCAACATGGTTCTTAAATGTCTTTTAGTCTTTCAGATATAAAGTTTAAAAACCATTTTTTGAATGTTTTACATATTTAGAGAAAATGTCCAAAAATTTAGAAAATGTGGTTTTTATTTGTTTTCAACGCTTTCTATCTCATGTCAACCTACTAGTAAAAGTGGCTTTAAAAAAACCTGAAATAAAGATAGCTTTGACTTCTCAAAATAAGTAGTGGAATGTGTTTGAGTTTGTTAGCAGGAAATAGTACCTCTCTCAATCCTTTCCCTGAAATGCAAACCCTTATGTTTTTAAGATATATTAAACTATATACTTTGCAAGTCGATTTGCTAGCGTATAAGTTTGTAGCAAATATATTTTACATTTACAAATTACGTAATTTCATTTACAACTTGAATGTAATTAAAAGTATCTTTTGTTTTAAAACTGCAAGTTACATAATCTTAAATTCATCGTACGTTTCATGGTTACAACTTTCATGATCTTAATTACATTTAAAAAAAAGAAAAATATCGGAAATTAATAAACAATAGGGGAGGGGAGGCGTTTATTAAGGACTCGAGTTATTAAGATAATGTTAAATGTGGGTGAATCTTATGATAATTTACCATCCAAAAATGATGGTTAACTATCTTCTCAAAATCAAATACCATTAATAAAATAGCAATACCATGACAATTAACGATTGCAAGTTATTCTTACCTTAGTTGTGTTCAACATCCAAAACTGTTGGCTAATGATCAATAAAGTAAAGTTCATATCATGAAAATTTACTAAATCCAAACCATATTTCAACAGTATTCAAACTAAAACAAAATAATGGCAAAGATAGAACTACAAAAATATAAAGAAAAAAAAATGTCATAAGAGGTAAAAAACCTTAACTATTTTTTAACAAAACCTCATAACATAAATAAAGTTAATAATAAATATGAAATATTTATGACATCAAAAAAATATCCTCTTTAAATATTCCATCAGTAATAAATAAAAGTATTCTATATTATATATCTATCTATTTATATATATATTTATATATCCTATATCTATCTGTAATCAGTATAACTTTATAACAAGTATATCTATTCATCAGAGTTCAATATATTTTTAAACTCCATACTTCGTGGAAATGCAGTCGCAAATTCATCTACAACAATATTTAAGTCAATTTCAACATCTCGATGAATGTGCAATATGGAAATGCCATTTAGGCGATCATCTGTCATAGAATTGCGCAAGGAAGTTTTAATTCTTTTCAGAGCTGATAATGATCTTTCACAAGTACATGTTGTAACTGGTACTGTGCAAAGGATTCGAAGTATAGTAGAAATATTTGGAAACGTATTGCCATCACATTTTTGTAGTGAATCTGAAATAGTTTTAAGAGCTGTTTCAGAGTGATTTTTCCAGTATACTTCTCACATATTCAATTCAGCATAAAGATAACTTGGTTCTGGTAAATCATTATTGTATGTATGAGCAAATTCTTTTACTTTTTTCCTCCACTTCTTGTCAGAGATTAAATTTGACGGTATAATGGCGAAACTATCTAGCAATGTAAAATTTTCTAAAGAAAATAAAGAATCTAACTGTGTTAGAATGTGATCAAGAAAAGGAATCGAACAAGTTACTCGATAATAATCACTAATATCATCTACTTGATGATTATCACGTTGTGTTTGTTGTCCACATGTTCTTGGTTTAGATGGCAAGGTATAATTAGTTGCAGCTATGGTAACAGCTTCTTTATACCATTCTGAGTGTGAAATTTCAATAGAGCTCCGAATAGATAAAAGAGTGTTTTTTAAAATTTCCAAATCATCACGAGCTTTTGAGAAGTCTTGATCAACTTTTTGCAACGTTTTTGTCAGTGGTCTTGTATACCCTAATAACTTCCTGACTATGATTAAGGTGATGATAAACTTAAACGAACAACATATTGTCACATATGCAGAAGCATCACCTCTGGATTTTTAGTTCCATGTCTCATCTTCTTTAATACAAGTAAGAGATGCAATTATAGCTGGATATAATTCAATAAAAGCTTCAAGACCATCAATTCTTTCAATCCACCTGGTTCTACAAACATTTATTGCCTTTTGAAAGGATGATATCAGACATAGCTCAACAATTTTTGTAGATAGATCTTCTAACCTCTTTGGAGAATTATTAAAAAAATCAGAGACAATCCTAACATGATCCATCATATCTTGAATTGAAGGAATTGCACATGCTTTGGCAACACACAGATTAAGTTGATGGGAATAGCAGTGGATGTATGGAGCTTTAGGAAAATCTTTTAAAATTAATGCTGCTACACCACAAAGACGCCCTGCCATGTTACCAGCCCCATCATAACCTTGCCCACAACAATAAGACATTTCCAGACCAAGTTTATGTATACTTTTCTTGATCTTAGTTGATAACAAAACTCCACTCAACCCACTATTGCAGGAAACAAATTTAAAAAAATCTTCCTTTACTTTGCAGCATTCATCCACATACCGAACAACTACAGCCATTTGTTCAGTTTGACTAACATCTGAAGCTTCATCTGCTAAAATAGAAAAAAATTTTGCTTTCTTTATCTGTTTGTCAATAGCGATCGAACAATACCTGCACAAATATCAATCAACTCATTCTGCACTGTCTTTGATTGATAAGTGGCATTTTTAGGACCATTTTTAAAATGGTCACTCAAGATCTTGTCACCGCATAATGCCATCAGATCTAATAAGCATTGGAAATTACCAGCATTATTACATTGCAAAGCAAGATTTTTAGCATCATCTCGATGTCCTCTAAGTGATATATTCTGCCTACAACAAAAAAGGATTGCAGGTGATATTGAAAACAAAATTTGCCGATTTCTAGAAATATTATCAGATAGAAATTTATTGAGTTGCAAATTAATTGGAACGGTTTTTTTACTAATTACTGCTTGGAAATCAAGCATTATTTGTATGGAGGTTTTATGCATTGGTGAAGTGTTATTATGTGATATTATTCTTACATTTCCAACTGACCAAAACCGAAATGGATATTCATGAAATAATTGACTAGTTGAAGAAGCCTTTTCAAACAGAACACAAGATATACAGAATAACCCATCATAGTACTTTAAGTAACAGAGCCATGAAAATTTTTTGAACCAAGCAGGATTTTATTTACGACCATTAGTTTTAGGAAAAACATAGAAGGTGGTATCCATACGTTCAATAGAATATTACGCTTCTCTTGGTTTGATAATTTCCCTACTTTGTCTACAAACAAGCCAATATCAAATTCGTTGAAATCATCTTCTGTTGTTACATTTTCACAATTTACATTTAATTTTGGAATTACGACTCCTGATATTGGTTTTTCAAATCTATTACTTAAAACCAAAGACAAACTGGATACTGGCAAAGGTTATTGGTTATTGTTCACAGAAAAAAAATTCTTAATACTCAATGATGGTTTGGTTAAATTAATTTTTTGAACAGCAGAACAAGGTATTTGAAGAAGTGAATTATTTGAAGGGCGTTTTTCACCAGTTACAACAATATTTTTTGAAGAATTTAAACTTGTGGGTACGAACTAAAATATTTCGAAACTCTGGCTGAGTGCTTATAATAGATACTAGAGGGACAAAATGATTAGGCTTGAAATAATGTATTTTTCCCATGTGTAAGATTGTCTGGAATTTCTTTCTTTGATTAAACATTGTAAAGCAATAAGTAAATTATTTGATAGGGTTCGTTAAATTTCTTAAAAGTCTGTGGGTACAATGTACTTCTAAATAAATATTCTAAACATGCATCTCCTGTAGTAGGATAAAAGAGTTTCAATGGAATCTGAAATAGAAAAAAAAAATAGAAAAATAATAATATCTATATAATAAATAAAATAATAAAATTCAAATCAGTTTAAATGTTAATTTTATACAAATGAGAATATACTTTTAAAACATTTGAGATTGACATCACACAAACTAAAGATGACAAATCACCAGATTGAGAAATATTTAATGCTTCAGCCAAAATAGCATCAACTTTAGACTTTTCTGATCGAAAAATACCACTTAAATGCCCCAGACAAAAAACAGGATGCACAGCAAAAAAATTTGCATTCTTGTATAACTCGATTGCACAAAGCTTCCTAAGAGTTGTTGCTGGTAAGTACATGATTCCATAGCGTAAAGTTAGGTCCCGTAAAATGTTCCGCAATTGTCCCGCTTCACGTCCAGGACAGAGATAACATAATTAATTTTTGCATTTATAATTTAATTTATGAAATAATTAATATTCTTTAAATGTGGAGCACGTTTTCACGTGGTTATCGTCGAAGATTAAATTTAAATTGGTAAAAAAATTATTATTATATATAGATAATAATAATTTAAATTTATTAGAAAAAACAACATTGAGTAGAGGTAATACAAGACATTTTAACTTTTTTAGACAAAATATTTTAAATTTTGAATATAAAAAGCTTAAGTTGATGTTTGTTTTACTACTCGTTTAAAAACATTTATATATATACAGAGGGTTACAAAAGTGTTCGTACAGTGAATCCTTCAATAAATGTAGTTATTTTTCATACATTTTTTCAAGTTATTTTGGTGAAATTATGTACAAAATTTATTTTATAGATCAAAATTAATGCAACATGAAAAGAAAAATAATATATTTTCAGAAAATCCCTTTAAAAAACCTAGATACAAGAAAAAGGTCTTGTTTAAAATGTTACTAAAGTCTTCGTACAATATAAAAATCTTTCAGAAAAACCAAAAAAGTGTCAAGAAAGGTATCAGAAAATCAAATTTCAATAACGAGTTGCTTTTCCTTTGCTTTTTATAACAGCTCTCAATCGATCTGGCATAGAATGAACCAGTTTTTTTGTGATTTCTTGACTTGACAATTCCAAGCACTCTCTAAAGCAACTTTCATCTGTGGTTTGTTAGTGAACTGAATTTTACGCAGTTTGATTTCCAATTCTGACCATAAATGTTCAATTGGGTTGAGATCTGGACTTTGAGCTGGTGTTTTTATTACTCCAGGACAGTTGTAGAGCATCCAGAGCCGTGTATCAAAAGCAGAATGCTTTGGATCATTGTCCTGGTAGTACTTATATACACCAGTCAGCCCCAATTTTTCAGCACTTTGGTTTAAGTTTTGTTTTAGGACATCAATATAAACACGAGCGTTCATGGTAGTCTCTATAAAATGTAATTTACCAACTCCAGACGCTGCCATACAGCCCCAAACCATCACACCACCCCCACCATGTTTGACTGTTGCTACCATATTTCGCTCTTCTAATTCTGTATTAGGTCCTCTCCAAACTTTTTAGCAAATTCTAAACGTGCTTTTCTATTCTTCTTAGAAATGAAGGGTTTTTTTCTCGCTACTCTTCTATGAAAATTTTGTTTTTTTAAGCATCGTCTCACTGTTTGCACACTTACAGATTGTCCTAGATCAAGTTCTAAATCCTTAGTCAATTTAGGAGCGCTCAGCTTAGGCTGCATCTTGATTTTTCGTACCAACCAATTCTCAGTTCGTTCCGAAAGGATTTTTGGGCGGCCAGTTCTTGGTTTATTTTGAACAGAACCCTCAGTAGAAAACTTTTTTATAATAGACTGAACCGTAGATATTGGAATACAAAGCATTTCTCTTATCTGTGACAGTGATTTCCCATTTTGATGGTGAGAAATAATAAGATTTTTCATTACTTCTGGCAACTCGTTTCTAGTAGGCTTCATTTTCAAAATTACTAATTTTTTATTGCACAAAATATCCTATTTGACAATTTTATTTACGCTAAAAACAAAAACATAGAAAATTTAAAGCTAATGTAAACATAAACAACATATAAAGGGGTTGTACGAAGACTTTTGTAACATATCAAAAAACTGATTTTTCGTCTTTAATAATTTTTTGACATAATTTTTTCTAACTTAAGTATTATTTCTTATGTTATATACTAAATAAAGATAGTTAAAGCGATTTCAACAAGAATTTTTACTAATAAATACGTTTAAGTGTTTTAAATATGATGATAAGTATAAAATATTTCACTGTACGAACACTTTTGTAACCCTCTGTATATATATAAATGTTTCTCAGGAATTCTCAGGATGTTTCTCAGGAATTCTCAGGATGTTTCTCAGGAATTCTCAGGAATGACATTCCTGAGAAATTTAAAAATTTAAAAACATTCCGACTGTTTTTAAACGAGTAATATAATATAAGCTTTTTATATTCATAATTTAAAATATTTTGTCTAAATAGGAATTTCCTCTACAAGCACGCTTTAAATGAAGTATCAATTTCCACGTTTGTATGGTTGTTACTGTTTAAATTTTTTTAGTTGTTATTTCTCAAGAAGGAAGTTGGGTTACTGTAGAAACATACGTTGAAGTACTTTTTTTGATACATAGCTACGAAACAGAGGCTGTATCAAAGTTTTCATGCTTTAGTGGCACTATAGCATGATTCATGCTATAGTGTATCAAAGTTTTCATGCCATGAAAACTTTGATAGAGCCTCTGTTTCGTAGCTATGTATCAAAAAAAGTACTTCAACGTATGTTTCTACAGTAACCCAACTTCCTTCTTTCCTTTCCTTTAGCAGCACTATTAGTGCTGCTAAAAACTGGAAATATGGTATGACAATTTTAATTAAGTGTTTTTAAAATGCAATTGCTAAATTTTAATTTTCTTTTATATTTGTATAGTTATTATTTAAAATTTTTGTTGTTGCTGTTATCTTTAAAGATTCTTCTGCAAAACACCACAAAATAAGATGATTCAATATCATTTAATGGTACTCCCTTTTTGGTTTTAGGATGTAAAGTGCTTGATTGTATGCACGGGAATGATAGAAAAGTCTCTTCTAAAGAATTTTATAAAATTCATTTATTATTACAATATGTTTTTCTTTATCAATTTGTTTCTAAAATAGCTCCTGTATTTAATGATAATATGTCTAAACCTTTTATTTTTGTTCTTTTGTCTAATTTTCTTAATAGGTATCAGATCACAGTTTTTCAAAAAGCTATTTGCTATATTTAAATTTCTTGGTCACCAAGAAATTTAACTGTAGTTTTCAAATAAAAATTTAGAAAATTTAAAAGTTCCCAAGTTTTAAGGTTTTATTTCATTGTTTGTTTAATTTATATTATTGAAATGAGATTTAAGTCAGTCCTATATTAACTATTCAAGACATACATGCATCAACAAACAATTTATGCTAATTCTTTTTAAAATAAACTTTGTTTTAGATTGCTGAGGATACTAAATTTAGAAGAGTGCAATTCTCAAACCGTATTAAAGATGCTTTGTCAAGAATAAAGTAGTAAGGGAAAGAGTGTTTCCAGTTTGCTTTCCTTCAAAAAGTTCTTATACTGGTCATTTTACTAGAGATGTAAGATTTCTTTTTTCTTTTTTGTGTAGATAAAGTTAAACAATAGATTTTAAAAGAAAAAAAACATTAAAGAGTTATCCAAATTAATTTTCATTTCTTGTTTGCCTGTTTTAAACATCTTAAAGTTAGTTTATTATTTCAAACATGTTATTTAACTTGTTTTGTCATATAACATTTATTAAATTTTAACATTTATATTAACATGTTTCCATTTATTTAAACCAACAATAAAGTTGTAGTAAATCTTAATTGCTATTTTTATTGCTGTTGTTTAGGAACTTTAGATTTAATATTGTTTAAAATATGTATAAACTTTCTTGTGTTCAGTATATTTAGTATATCATATTTAGTATCTTGATCCAGATTACTTAAGGCCTTAAATTTAAATGCCTGCTCCTACTGATGGTTTTGTTATATACTTGGTATGTTCTTGTACTATTCCTAATATATGTAATATTGTTCATACAAACTTCAATATTTTCACCAGGGGTGGGTTTTGTCACTCACCAAGGAGGTGGCTAAAATGGTTTTTAAAAAAAAAGGTCCGCATTTTTTCACTTAAAAGTGACTTTCTTTAACTTTTTGTACTTTAGTGTAATAATCAAGTTCATATATGTATAATTACCTATAATAGTCAATTACCTATAATAGTCAATCCCAATGGGGGGCGGGGGCAACTACCCCCATGCCCACTCTAAAACTCGCCACTGATTTTCACAGTCTGCTGAAGCTATTAAGTGTATCAATGAAGAGAACTGATCTATCAATCATTTTTACTAGCAATCAATAAAATATCTCATTGGAAGTAGGAAGAAGGAAGCTTGTACTATTGTAAAATAAAATGATATCTGTTTCTGTAGCATTATATATATTAAAGTGTACTTTATTTTAGATCAAATTGCATGATTTCACATTTATCTTTATTAAAACTGATTAGCCTTTTTTTTCCAGTTAAATAAGATGTCAAGATCAAACTGTGTAGAGTGATTTTTTTTTTTTTTTTCTAATTGAGTTATTTTCTAAATTTTCAAAATATTTTCAAAAATTTCAAATACTTCTTGGAATATGCATCTTAAATATGGAATTCATATTTTAATAAAGATATAAATTTTATCGAAAAAGTCCAACAAAAAGCCGCAAAAATTGGCTACAAAAGAAAGGGAGCAAGTTACGAGCAAAGATTAAAAGAAATGGGCTTACAAAATCTATCAAATAGAAGAGAAAACAGCGATCTCATTAAAATGTTTGAACTTATAAACAACCGTGATATTATCAATTAGAACTGCGTTCCACAAGTATTGGGTAGGCTTACAGAGGCCACAATTAAAGGTCGAGAAGACATTTTGTTAAAAACTTTTTGTTGAGACTAATTTTTTTACAAACCATATACAGTGGGTTGCCAAATTATTTGGGACACTTCACTTTTTAAGTAATTTTAAAGTTTAAATGATTTTTGCAAGCAAATAATTTTTTTTAAATAAAAAGTTTTGAGTGTATTTTAGTCACTAATATAACTATAGTTGTTTTTAAACTGTGGCAATTTGTGATAACCTGATCTGTTAGGTTATTACTCAATTAGCTGT